CCTCTTTAAGAGCAAGAAAGGCCTCCAAAAATCACCTGTTACTCAACATCTCCACATGAATGTCTAATAGCCATTCCATCAGCAGCATCTTGGACCTCTCTTTTTATGTCACACCCTGCAACGATCAACATTCTTTTGACCCTGCCTTAAAAACGTTTCCAGATTCTAGCTACTTTTTACCACATCTTACCTAGATTATCACAATACTGGTCTCCCTGTTTCTACCCTTGATTACTTACTCATTCATTGAAAAGAATATTTGAGTACATAATATGCGCCGGGTATTACTACCAATTCTACAGTGAATAGAACAGATAAAAATCCCTGACCTGGAACTTTTATTCTGTTCTCAGATATTTAAAAGTGACCAGTCTGATTGCTGTTTTAAGTTAATCTCTCTCTTTTGATCAAAATTCTTAGATTCACCTGCCCATACTAATAGTCTCTATATGTTGCCAAAGATGAGGAAAAATCGGGTTTTAAGTTTGAAGTGCCTTTGCCTCTCCTGACACTGTCATGTCACAGAGCATAGGTCAGTTTGCATGCTGATGGAGAAAGGGAGGTAGACTAGTCTTTCACAAGTAGGATTCTAGAAATGGAAGCACTGCATTGAATGACTTCGGAGGCGTCTGTATGATAGTGATCACCGACAGCAGTTTAACTACCAGCCTCTCTTCCTGCCTTATTTTGCTGAACTTTTTGGACACATTGAGCTCTCGAAACACATTGGAACATCTGTTAAATGCATGTGCCCCTTCACGAGTGTTTGAGATATTACATGCAGTAAAGTACATTTTAAGTGTACCACGTGATTAATTTTTTCATGTGTATGTTCCCGTGTAACTAATTCAGATCAAGATTCATTTTCAGCAGCACTCCAAAAGACTCAGTTGTTCCCCCTTTCAGTCCATAGCATCTCCCAAATCTAACCAATATTCTAACTTCTGTCACCACGAAATTAATTTTGCCTGTGTTTGAACTTTGTGTTGATGGCATCTTTTATTTCTGGTTTCTTTCATGCAAAATTAGGTATGTGACAGTTATCAATGTTGTAGATAGCTACAGTTTTTTTTCGTTGCTGTATAATATACATCATGAAAATATCACAATTTATTCTACTGCTGATATTTTGGTTCTGTCCTGTTTTGGATATTATGAATAGCATGTCATTTGTTGGATGTAAGCATTCGTTTCTCTTTTTAATCGGGAGTGTAATTGCTGGATCATAGCCTATGCTTATGGATACAGACTTTTCGGAGATAGTATAAATGGTAAAGTGTCAGTGCTCCTCTTGAGGGTTTCGAGATGTCCTCTTATATTCAATGGCTCTGAGCTGCTATGTGACCCATTATTTGTTCATGTTTTTGTCTTCTCTCTGCTCTACCCCAAGCCACAATGTTGAATTCAAAGTATAATTGTGCAAGATGAGTATCAGTAATCCTTGGATTAGAAGGGAAATTCTCCAGTGTTCTTTCTGTTACCGCCATCCTATCAGCTTCGGTTTCATTTAATACTTGAAAATTTTTGAAGGGAGTAGGGAACAAAACATGATTGGAAATCCTACTCCTTAATAGCAAATGTTTGGGCTAAAGCATTAGGCTAGAATTGAAAGAGCTAACAATTACTTGATTTCATGTACAATACTGGTCACTAGGAGTACAAAGTGATGAGCAAAGTGAACAGAGCTCACCCCAGGTATTGAGGCAGAACAACCATCACAGTCCACTGTAGGGGGCAAAGCACTGAAGAAAAACTGTTTTCTTTGTTTTCACTTACTTTACACATTATTCCCTGAATACTACAAGACTGCTGACACAAGATGTGGTTTTCCACACATCATCCAATTCTGCAACACCAGCTGGGTGTCCTACAATTAAACTCAATTCCTACACTATCTCCCTGGAGACAGTGTCACACCTCCCAGGTTAAGAGCTCAGCCCCACAAGACGGCTACTTCACATGCCAGTCGCAAGTCCGAGTTGTTAACCTGTGCTTCTGACCAGTGGGCTATACATTGGAAGTTCTACAACCCCCTCCTCAGGTTTAATTAATTTGCTAGAACAAAGGCCTGAAAGGTAAAGAACCAGACGAAAATTCACCAGGACTGGAACATGGAGTTTAAGGGGAGAGTAGTGGCACGAGATGAAGCTGGAAATCTAAGAGGACACCATAACAGGAAGAGCTTTAAACAGTAACAGCCAGTGTTTCTGAGGAGTTGGCCTTTTCCAGACCCTGGGCTAATCACTTTTCATGGACTCATTTAATACTCAAGATCCTTAAAAACATAGGTCTGTCATTACAGATGATAAAATGAAGGTTCAGGGAAATTAAATAAGTGACCCAGCCCTGGACCTATAAAATGACAAGTACAGGTCTTATCTAACTGATCAACAGCCTGTTCTCTTCACCACTCCTATAGATACTACCATATAAGCCATGCTTTTTCCTCCTGTGAGCTCAGCTTATATGTGATTGTTTTAATCTGAGGCATCATTTAGTGTTTCTCAAACTTAATAAATAGTTCTTTTAAAGAAAAAGTTCACAGATCTTTAGGGTTGACTTAAATCAGCTATTTAAGTGTATGCAAACATAAAACTAGTATAAACTGGTGCTTCCACTGCTCATATATCAAAATAAATATACCCGTTAAGCAAACAAAACTATAAAACTAATAAAATGCAAGTTAGGTAGCATTAATTTAATGTGACTGGTGATATTGTGCTGCAGTTGTCACTCACAAGGCGTGAGTACGGCATCGACGCTAAAGCACAGGCCCTGTTCGCTAAGCATACCTCTGCCACCAGCGGCTCTGTGGGGGGCGTTCCCCCGCACCTCTGCTCCCTTCCAACTCCCAGGAAAGCACGGTGCTGTCGGCTTTCCTTTGGAATGTGGACATCACACATTAAACCCAGCTGAAGTAGTGGTGTGTGGTGCCAGCAGGATTGTAAATGTGCACGCTCTGAAATACAGTTTCTATATTTTAATGCATCTTGAATTCAAAATAATAGAAATGGTCCAAACTTATTAAAATGAGATTTGATCTAGAATGTAGTTTGATCTATGAGAGTGGGAGAAGGAAGGACTATGGCTATGAAGGGAGCGTTTGTTGGCTTTTGAGTTATCATACTTAGTAGTCTTTTCTTACTTTTGCATTTTTGCTTCTTCACAGGGGTTGGCACCAGAAATTACTACAGAAAGATTGGCTACAGATTACAAGGCCCGTACATGGTAAAGACGCTAAAATAACAGCCACACCAGTCTACCTTGATGCAGTATTGTCCCTGGCAGGAAATAGATTCCAGATGTCTTGACTGCTCAGCAGAGAGGCTGAGCAAAGCAAGTGGACCTACTCTGTTCCCCAGCACGAAGCTTCACCCTCATCCTGCAGCTGCAGAGACTGGAACCTGTTTTCAGAGCGGTGGCCGGGTGGCTGCTGTCATGCAGGGAGCCTCTGGCTCTCAGCGCTCCATGCCACCCTTTCCTGCGTGTTCTCAACAAGCCACTTCAGTTTTCAAGGCTTAAGTCGTGTACCCAGTTTCTAAATTCTGCATGCGGCCTGCAGGTGACCTACTTTGACTCAGACACAATGACAAAAACAAATTAATCAACTCATTTAGACATCATGATTCATGAAGTAAAACTAGGTATTGTCATTGGAAGAGTAAACTTAGGAGTAGGTTATTTATATGCTGTAGGGACACAAAGTCAGGTTGGAACCTATGAAAACTGACAGACTTTGACTACATAACCATTCCAGCACAAGAAAACGAGCTTTTGTTTCAATGGAAACCATGCTGGTTCCTGGTGTTTATAACAGTGATAGGAGAGAGGAATTGAGGTTGTGTGTGTTTCAAGCTTGAAACCAGCCTTTTTCATTTGTGTGTCTACCGTCTACTGTGAGCCATTACAAACATCCTTTATTTCATATTTTTTATTGTCTGTACTTCCCCTACTCTTGAGAACTGTAAAGCTGTGGCTTCCCTTTTGTCTGTCCTGTGCAGGCAGAGTGTGACATACTTGTGTCTTGGGTGGTGTGATCCTAAGTCAAGATTTCCTCCCACAGAAGCCGTTCCCTGCATTTTAATTCTTTAAGATAGATGTTGATTTGTTTTAAATAGAGAAAGATGAATTCAACTCATATATGAAGCAAAAAAAAAAAAAAGCAAAACAGGCCCAAATCTAAAAATGGGGGAAAGACTGGCTTTTTCAAAGGTATCTTATAGAACTGCCTCTTTGTAACGTCCAGGTAATCTAAGGAGACTCAGCCTGGAGAGGGTCAGTTCTGAAAGAGCATGGCTTAACCCTGCACCCCTCGCTTCTGTGGCATTTTACAAAGGTTTATTAAATGGAATTGATTCCCCTAAGAGTTTCAAGAAATAAAATCTTCAGCATATGAAGAAGAATCACGTAATGTTTTTTTCTCTCCCTGTAAATGCGGTGACATTTGCCATGAATTTACAGGTTTGGGTTTCCAGTCTGTGACACTATTCATTTCCTCCTGGGTGCCGTTTGCCATTTCATTAAACTGCCACACGGCAAATGGCATTGGCTTTCTCATGGGCTCACTGTGGAACTAGAGAGGCTTTCCATGAGTGTAGTTTAGGGAATTTAGCTACTTCTCGATTATGCTTGTTTTCCCTTTAAAAATGAAACTATTAAACTAATAAAGCATATACCATAATGGCTCTTAGCGCACATAACTGGAGAGAGAATAGAGAGCGTGCTGGCCTCTCCCTGCAGTGTGACCTTGACTTAACACAAGCATCTCTAGGCCTCCATTTTCTCAGCTGTCGTATTTACCTAAATGGATCAAAATGTGTAAGGTACAGACAAGTCCTTTGTAAAATTGCAAAGGCATTCACATGTGAGGTTTATTTTTAAAAGACAATTCAGAGAAGATTTTAAAACAAAATTGCCAAAGACTCACCCATTACTAAGGGATAGTAGTCATCGTTTCGTCTGAATTTTCATTTCAGGGCTCAGGAGAATTCCTACCTCTTTCCATCTCATCCTCAGGCTTCCTTGGAGTCCCCTAGCCTTGTGCAAATATGCAGAACTTTTAAAGCTCTGCATGGGTAGATCTCCTGCAGCCTTTCTGCCACTAGAAGCTTCAGCTTCTCTCCTAACTGCTGAGGACTTTTTCTAGCATCGATGGCACTTGGTGCCTCCGTGGCCTGGCCAGAGATATGTGCTCTCCAGGCCAACAGTTGCCTCATAAAGATCAGTCAGGTGTGATCTCAAGGCCTCGGCATGAAACCGTTAAAGCTGCAGCTTGTATTTTGATCTGTATTGAACGACTTCTTAGCAACCACCTCAAACCCAAATACCTCTGCTTTTAGTTCACCTTGTTAAATCACCTAGAAGTTTAAAAAGATCGAGCCATATTGAAAACAGACCAAATCTATTTGAATAGAAAATGAGATTTAAAAAAATATATTAACCAGCGAAAGAGCCTGATAAAGCTGTTTCTCAAATGGGAGAATGAACGAACCACTTTTAAAGGAAAAAATTTCTACTAACTCAAAAGAATACTGAAATGTACAACTTAAAACCAAAGCCGGAATGTTCTCTGAAAACATCTTTCAAATTGCAAATTTTCATTTCCAAAGGTTTGTTTTTTTTAAGGTTAGCATGTAATTGAAAATAAATTTTGTGAGGAACTCACAGACCCCTAAATTTATGAAAGAGCTCACAGTCTGGGCTCCAAAAACCTGGGCTCCTCTATGAACTCTGAAGCTTCGGACGAGTCCCCTCACCTTGAGCTACTGTCTCCCATTGATAATGTGAGATAGATACCCCTCTCAGCAGGTGCAAGGATCAGATGTGGTCACGTGTGAAAGACATTGCATAAACTATGATATTCTCTGTAAACAGCTGTTACTCTAATGAAGTAGCTTCTTGACAGACGTGTGACTTGGGGCAAGTAAACGCACTGCCTCTCAACAAGTTTCCTATCTATAAAATGGAGATGAAAAGAGTGCCTCCTTCATGCAATGATTGTGAGGAATGAATGAGCGTATGTGTGTAAGGTTCTTAAAGCGGGGCCTGTGGAACATGAAACACTAGAAGTGGTACGAGCTGTTACTAATGTCTAACAAGTATGGTATTTGGCCCATTTTAACAAGAGTTTATCTGTTGGCAATAAAACTGATTTTTGCCAGAAGCCAATATCAGAAGAAGAGCATCTGGTGCTCTGAGGCCTTTTCTTCTCCCATCCTCTAGTTGGTCCTTCTTTTACATTCACGTAAATCTAGGGTTGCAGATCATCAGATCCATGCTTTGAAGGACAAGAGACTAGCTGAGACTCTGCAACAGCAAAAAGCATTTTGAAATATCCCTGTAAGTCTGAGGGCTTCCTGGAAAATTGTCCAGTATCAGTACAGACTGCAAATCCCATGTGTGCTGGTAGCTATGTCCACTCCGGGAGTCCCTCTGACGGGGGTGGGGAGGACAGGCGGTCTGACATTACTATATGTTAGTTGTGTATGTCAGCAGCATGTTTGTTTCATTCTATGAAAGTTCCAAAAGCTTAAGTTTACAGACTTGTTACAGAAGTTGATTTTAACAGACACATAATCAAATACATGCCTGGAGGAAGTAGCACACCGGCTGCTTTTCTACATCCAAATGTGCAGCATTATCTCCCGTCTCTTCGCAGGCTGAGAACACTTGACCGCCTGGAAAACACCTCCGTGTGCTGAGTCTGCAGCAGGCCCCACATTCTCTAGGTAACCCTCACTGCAGGCCTAGAGGTGAACACTAGTCTCCCCCTAGTGACAAATGAGGACGTGGGCCTTAAAGGCAGAGCCACCACGTCCAGTTCCAGTCAGTACCAGTCCTAAAATGTCTGTGGGTCACATACACTCATGAAAAGTGCCCCCAGAGCAGCCCAGCCAGCAGCCCTGGTCTCGGCCACAAAACGGATTTCGGAATTCAACCTGAGTCAGTGACAGATTTTCTCATGCCTCTCTACCTCCCATTTCCTCTTTAAGGGGGAAAATGTTTTCCCTCTTTACACAGAAGCGGACCCCAACAGGTCGCGAGCGGTGAGCCTGCTTTCATACTTGATCCCCACAACGAACAATCTGTGCGCAAAGTCATCGTCTCAGGTTTTACAGTTGCAGACAGTGGAAGTGAACGATCTCACCAAGAGAAAATGCAAAGCAAAGAGAGTCTGCTCTTTTTATTTAAATAAAAATATCTTTAGGGGTTCTAAAAATTATATATGCTCGTATGTATCGAAATAAATGAAATAAAACGAAAAAGCACAAGATAACCTGAAATCTTACTGTCAGAGGCAGCCATGCTAAGCACTGCAGTGACTGTACTTCCATCCACCTCCCCGAACACACACACGGTCAGGTTTGTATTAAACAGTCACACTGTGTGTTGCTTTGTAACCTTTTTTGCTTGACAAAATGTAATGTTAACATACGGATTGATATCATCCTTTTTAATGACTACCTAATATTCCATTGTCTACAGGTGCCACAATTTAGGTATTTCATATCGCATTCTTTTTAGTCTCATCGTCACAATGGCTAGAATCACGTATTAAGCATGGGGACGCACACATGATTGACTCCATACTGAAATTTGCTGCTTTAAATGTTTTGTCTACGAGCACTCACGCAGCCACAGCAGGCTTCCTCAGGGTCCCTTTAATTCTACTCCCAAGTCTCTCAGTCCTTCATTCATGACCCACCTTCCGGGAGGTGGGGGAGAAGTAAACCTGTCTGGCACTTGGCCTTTTTTATTCAGAAGACAGCAGCACATTTAATCGTGAACAAGTCCCATCAATACAAAATGCCAAGCTGCCGGTTTACTGAAAGGCGCTGGAGCGTGAACATGATTTTACTGAGGTTAGAGGTGACTGTACCTTATATTTTCTCCCCTGAGAGAAGTTACTGCTTCAAGACAGATTACTTTGCCAGCTGAAGCCCTGCACAGAAGGTTACCCTCTTGTCTTAGGGACTGTTCTTGTCTGCAAGGTTAGCGAATGTGAGTGCCAGGAAGGTGACAGTAGCTGCTGTCCCGCCCAGCGCAGGTGGGGAAGGGCTCAGGACTTGGATCCCTCAAGAAAGAGCGGGCCCAGCAGTCAGCTTCCTGGGTTCGACGCTTGCTTCTGTCTCTGTCTAGCTTTGCAAGAACTAGGGTCTTAGACCACTGCACGTCTGGGGTGTTGGGGCAGCAGGCAAAGGATCTTACACATTTACCTGAAGAAAAGGAAAGGAACACTGGGGAAAGGGAGGAAAAAGGAAATAATACCTGTTGAGCAGACAGGCCTGGTCTTGCCCTCATGACAGTCCTGAGGTAGGAATTATAGTCACCATTTAAATGAGAAACCAAGGTTCGAAACAGTAAGGAAATGAACCAAGGCCCCAAAGCTAGCAAGTGAAGAGCTGAGTACAAAGGCAACAAATTGACTTGCAAAGATTCAAGGACTCTAATACCTAGGAGCAGACGTGGCTCTAGAATTTTTAAAAAAGGCTTCAGGCTAACAGTTGGGTCGGGAAAGGAGTATCTGAAGCTGCATTTGCCTAGTAGATACTGTTCGCCCTCCACCCCACCTGCCTTATCCTCTTCTTGGTACAACTGCCAATGAGCTCCTCTTTTGAAAACTACTTGATGAAATATGGCCAAGATATACATCCAAAGCACTTGAGAAGGGGGCAATATGGAAAGAAGGAACTAGCAGTAAGTAATCAATCTCTTTATATGGAGAACTGAAACTAAGTAACTGGAAGTTACTATTACAGAAAAGAATGAAAGCTTCTGAGTTAAAATAAAGGATTAAATACACATCTAGTTTTGCTCCAACCCAAAGCCCACACAAGACTAAAGGGGATTTTTCTTTTTTTTTTAAATCTGCAAGAAGAAGAAGAACAAAAGACAAGATAAAAGTGATAAAATTGTGGAAGCTATACAGCAAATGGACAGTAGTAACTCACTTAGCTCTTGAGACTGATCAGTGGAGAAGTTCACAGCCAATACAATTTATATCACAGAAACTTCAAAAGCCACAGGAACTGACAGCACCATATACTGGAGAGCAAGAGGCCAAAACAAGGAGGAATGATGAAAGTCGTCTGACAGCAGTTAGGTCCCTAGGTCCCCGTACTCATTCCCTCCATTAAGCAGATGCTCTGCTTCCACCTCAGCAATAGCCTGGAGGACCTTTGGATGAGAGAACTCTAGACAAAGTCGAAGGTCAGGCTAATATAACAGAACAAGATGATTAAGTGAACCCCTGCGTACCAAATAGTGAGTACTGAGACTTCACTTGTCTTTCCCAGTGCCATTTTTCAGAATGCTGGCAGCCAAACTACCTTGCAGGCCAGAAATTGAAAGGCTCTTTTGAAGAATCCAACCAGCCCTAGAGGAAAGACCTAAAGACACCGTCATATAGAATTTCTCAAGAAACAACCCAGATGGCCACTCCACAGCAAAGTCAGTAAACTCTCCCTTGTTAGGAAATGAATGTTTGTGTCCCCCTAAAATTCATATGTTGAATCCCCATCCCTCAGTGTGACTGTATTTGGAGGTAGGGCCTTTTTGAAGGTAAACTGAGGTCATAAGGGTGAAGCTTTGATCCAATAATATCCGTGTCCTTACAAGAAGAGACAGAAGAGGAGAGTGGCATCACCAAGGTGACATAAGTCCCTCCTGACTTGGCTC